GAGAGACCGGAAAGAAACCGTTACCACCAGCAGCCCGCACGCGCGCGCCGCAGCAGCTCAGACTTCCGGTGCAGACCGGAAGCCGCCGGGGCCTGCCTGTGGAACGCTGGGAACCCTTCCCACCCGCCCCCTCTCCCGGCCACTCTGGCACACTGGAGGACTCTCCATGCCGCCTCGACTGCTCCCGCCTCTCATAGTGCCTCCGTCCAGCGGCGGTGCGCGGCCTCCCGTGCTGACCTCTGGCTGGGGGCACGAGCCCCACTGCAGGCCAGGCCCCGCAGCGCATGCTAGCCCACCAGCAACCCACCGCAGGTGCAGACCAGGCCCCCCAGCCTGGGAATTCAGCCCCTGCAGAGAGCACAGGCCCAGAGCCTGCAGGGTGCATGCAACACAGGCATGGGGCAAGGCCAGGTGGGGTGCACTGAGTGACCCTGACATCCCCCTTATTTAGGCAGGAAAGTCCAAATGCTGAAGGATGGCTGCCATTTGCAGAGATAACTAGGACAGGAGCCTCACTCGCACCAGGATCCTTTGAGGAGTAATTTTCAACAATAAAAAGAGAGAGAGCGAGCTTTTGGCCCAAAAGACGACACTCAAGGCCACTTGCATAGTTCATAGCCATACATCTCAGCGAGACACCACCCTTAAATTCCACTCACTTGACCTTGCATCCTCACGGAGAGCCTTGCAGTGGATCATAGATGCTCAGATCAAGATGAACCTTTGCATGGTGGGTGAAGTATGGCTGCCTAGCTGTCCTTTTGTTCCTCACACCTAAGTAGATCTGTCCCCAGCTATAGGTGGCTATACATGTGTGTTATCACTGCAGTTTGTCAGGTGTACATTGGAGTAATACAACCGCTCTCACTTGCAGAAGATATGATGATGAAGTTGAGGAATGCAAATACATTAAGACTTTTCAAGTGGCTTCACCCCCTCCATTTGGGGGCTTAAGTGTATGGCCAGCTCCGGCACCAACCTGCTCTGTTACTTTGGGCAAGTCACTTCACTTTCTGTCTCTCCCAGTTTTGTAAAGTGCTTTGAGACTAAAGGAGTTAAGTATTGTGAATTCCACACACAGTCACACTGCCTCTTACATTGTTTGCAAGTTGACCCTGACTCTCCTCTCTGCATACCCTACCACTGGGACATACCATTTCCTCTACTGCTAACATTTTAAAGAAAGTATTGGTTGTAGAAACCAAAAGACCCTTTTGTTTGCACCTACAGCCCACCTCTGCATCTTACTCAAATACACGGAGAACATCTGAAATAAGACTTCCTACATCAGCTTTATTTAAAAACACAAGTAATGTTTTTCATGAACAGCCCAACTCATGGTGAACATGTATGGTTCAGATTACATGTAAGACAATGCCTTAAATACAAACTAAATAGAAAATGAAAGAATAAAATATTTACAGAAGTAATGGCATACATAAAATTCTGCCTTCATAGACAGGACTTCTCATCCAGAGAAGGAAGTGAACAAAGCTGACAATGGAACGGAATATTCTGCTTAAACACAGGGAGATAACAAGCAGCAGGGAAAAGATTTTTAGATCACAATCTCTCATACATATGTCTCTCTCTGAAAGTTGCTTCCATTTGTGCACAAGCAACCAGAAGTCTCATTGTGAAAAGTCCTTCAGCAGGATGGAGGGTTGTTGCTTTTCGGCTTCTTTGGGATGAAGCTTTCTGCGTGGTGTCCCTCCTAGAACTATAACAGCAGTTTCTTCAGGAGTGGGCTTTTTAATTTAAAAATTGGTTTTGGTTCAAATCTTCCCTATAAGAACTAAGACATCACAGTGGATTATCAAATCATGTACGTGTTTTCTTTCAAAGACAAAATATTTACAATACAATTAAACTTTTTTTTTTTAAGCCTGCCAGCAGCAAAAGCCTTGCCACACCTATATCCTCACAGCTCAAAGTCGGAAGGGACTAGTTTGTTGAAGGTTTAAGAAAATAAAAAAAAATCTTATGGTCAAAATGAACATAGGTGATGGGATACACAATACACCCCAATCTCAATCATTCTCTCCATGTACACAGTTCAGACAAATGGACTGTCAAGCACAGAAGACTAGTTTTCCTAACATCCCAACCCCAGGTGTGTACTTCCTAAATAATTAGTTCAGGCCGGAGGAGGGGGGAGTTATAGAGAAATGAAGGGTGAGAAGAGAGAAAGGTATCCACAGGACAGGGGCGGGAACAGAGTTTGCTCTGACACTTCTAAGACTTGCCTGACTTGACACATGCTTCCTATTGGCTGAATTCCAGCATAGTGCTACATCAAATCAAACAAGCCAATACAGCGAATTGGGGTTCAAAGAAAGCTAAAAGTGTTTTCCCCATCAGTGCCAGCAGCTACCGCTTCTCAGTAGAAGAAAAGTCAGCAGAAGAGGGAAGAGATTCTTGGAAATGAGAGGCACTTTTAAGACCCATTTTCAATTTACTGATGTGCAGCAGACCAAGAGGGGTTACACCAGTTGCCCCAGGACCTTACTCAGTCAACAAAAAGTACCAACCCCCCAAGATTTAGAACAGTATGATTCAAAGGGAGGAAGGCAGTCTTTGTGTACTGTATAGCTGCTGCTTTCCATACTGATATTGTGTTGTCCCTGATAATTAAAAGGAAGTAAGGCTGGATGGACTAACCCGATCCCGCACCTTTGGCAGTATGTTTGGCCCACATTACTGTAGTAATTATCCTTCTCTCCCCACTTTTTCATTATTTTTTGCTAGAATGTTAAAACAAGAAGGACAAATACAACTCAAGAGTTGCCAAAAGCTTTGAAACACACTGAGTTTTGCACACCTTGCTGAGAAAAAAAAAAAATTTTTTTTTAAAGCCTTCACAGCCTTAAATCAGTGGAAGAAGTTTACACCCCCAGGCTTTATAGATGGGCTCCAGGATCTTTCTGGCCTGAAACTCTGAAGTGCTTTGTCCTCACATATTCAAAATAGCCGCCTGTGGAAACAGGATGCGTACACAGGCTCTTAACTCTGACCTGCAGGGAAATTAACGACAATTGAGTGCAGATATTGCCAATTTCTATCAGTTCAAGTGTACTTAAAGACTTGTGGCAAAGCCTCATATAGAAGAAAAAGGTTTATCTTGGGTATCCAACAAAATAGAGTTTAAAATGTTTTTTGTTTTAAAAGGTAAGTATAAGTCTGGTTCAGCTGTCAATCATTTCAGATAGTTCAAGCAGGAGGTCATCCTCATCTTTCCCTGGGTCCAGATCAATCTCTGCTTCCAGTTTGCCTCCAGAGATTTCCCAAATCAGCTTCTCAAAGTCATCTTCTACGGATAAGGGTGCTTTCCCAGCTGTGGTGGAGCTCAGCCTGCGGGTCTTGACTGCTGCCTGTGAAGAGGTTGGGCTTGACATCTCTGACTGAGCCACAGAGGCTGCTTGGCTTCCTATATGCAACTCAGGGCTTGGGAGAAGAGAGAGAGCAATTCTTTAATTGAAAATATCTATTTTGCCAACCGCCCTCTCTTACTGCAGTGTTCCCCCCCACACCTCCAATCCTTTGGAATTGCTGTGTAATTAAGCAGTGGCTGTCTCTGAGTCCAACGTAATATTACAGGTACATTCTCAGTTTGGGGACCTAGACACAACCATGAGAATTAAACCAATCTTTTTCCTAGATCCCCAAATGCTCTGCCTCCAAAGACAATACACTTACACTAATTTACTAAACTGATTATAAAAATGTGAACGGATAAAACTTTGTGAACTGTTTGTTAAAACAGATATCAACTATTTACTCTTTCCATCACACATTTGGATGAATTTGGTGCTCTTGACAGTAAGAAGCTGACAGCAGTGGATTTTAGTCAGCCCTGATTCAGCCAGGTGCTGCATAAACTTGTCTCACCCAGCTCTGCGTTATTTTCTTCACCTAATATCCCTCTTCTCTTACAAAGCCTTCTGCTGAGACATGCATTTGGTCACAGAGAATGCCAGCTACTAGTTAGCATTTGAGGAGGAGCCAGCAGGAAAGTCTTCCCCTATCTTCATCCCACTCCAGCGCCACCCTCGCCTCTTTCAGGACCTCACAGGAATCCAGAAAGATGCTACTGCAAGTGATGCCAATTCACCTACATTAACAAAATCAACTCAAATGTTTTAAAAGATAATCCAAAGGAGAGTCTGCTAAATAGTTAGAAAATTAAAGCAGGGTACGTTGCAGGGCTTAACAGGTATATTATAACATTGATGACCTCAAACTCATCTTCCCAAATGTCAGGCAGAGACTGTACTGAAGTTTCAAACCGAAACCCCAGTGACAAAAACCTTTTCTAACAGGAACAGGAGCAAGTTGCAGACATTACCTGTCTCTGGATTTTGCTCTCTCCGGTACAGTGGCCGGACTATCCTCTGGCACGGCTAGAACAGTAGTCTGGGAAAAAGCAAGATGAAAGATAAGGTACAAAAGTAAAATATTTCTCGGCAGATTTCTTTTCCTCCAGTATAATGCCTGCCCCATCCTTGCACAGCCATATCATCCCTGAGCCCCAAGCCAAAACAATTCTGGGCCTTCCCAGACAAAGTGAGCATAAAACTCGATGCCTATCAAGGGCCTGAAGTCTTCAGCGGTAGTTGACTAGCCACTCTGGAATGCACGTAAGTGGTATGTACTTCACTCCACTGAGAAGACATTTAACTAAGAACATTATAAAAGTGCTGTTACTCATCTAATAAAAGATGGAGGAAGATGCATCAAAATCATACCATGGTATGGTAAGGGACTCAGATCTGGACAGAACTGCATAAGAGAGATAAGACATCCCTATATCTATCTTCGGTCTTCTCTTAGGGGCAGGGTGAAACACTTCTGTTCAGGTTTCACCATAGGCTGTCCAGCTTGTAAGCCAGTTTCCTTACCACAGCTGCTTTTTTAGCTGGGAGCTCCTTCAAGTCACTGCTAGTGCTGCTTAGTGGTTTCACAGCTGCTATGGCAGAAGGATGACTTTCAGCCACCTTACGTTTCAGGGCCTGTTTTGCAGGGGAGATGGTTTTCACGCCTGATGGCTTCACAGTCACCTTGGGTTTGGCTGGAAAATAAAAGGAAAGGAACAGAAGCTGATTGGTTCCTAGGATTGATGCAGTTTCCTTGCTCCTCTGTAAAGCCAGCAATGAGTTTAAGGCACAGCACTTTGTAACCCCCAATTAACCCTTTGGCAGTTCAAATACATGTATTCAAAAAAGAACTAGATAAGTTCATTGAGGATAGGTCCATCAATGGCTATTAGCCAGGATGGGTGGCCCTAGTCTCTGTTTGCCAGAGACTGTTCATTCCCTCTGGGGCACCTGGCATTGGCCACTATCAGAAGACAGGATACTGGGCTAGATGGACCTTTGGTCTGACCCAGTATGGCTGTTCTGTTCTTATGTAGTCAGCAATCTATAAAAATGCTAATAGACTTACAGTGTCTCATCTTATCAGCTCTAACACATTTCAGAGAAATTACTTCACCTCCATTAACACAGCCATCTTTGGGGTGGAATGTAGGAGCTGTACAGCAACACTACTCAACGGTCAGGGATGAATTCATAAACCAATCAGAAATAAAAGGGAGAATATAGAGAAAATCTGGACAGCGTCAAGATCCTAAGCAACACCACCACTTTTCTAGGGTAACTTTACTGAAATTTCAGTGTTCACAAATGAAAGCCATTTTCTAGTTAGATTTTTTTTTTAAAGTTTGGGAATTTTAGGGCTCTCAGAAAGGAAAGGGTTAACACAGACGAGAGCTGGGCAGAAACAGAACAGGCAAATTCTGTGTAGGCTCTCTCTCCCACCCCATCAAGGATCTGCACAACTTGTTACACTACTGTGCCAATGCATCAAATCCAGACCGGCAGTATCCCTTTTACTACTCCATTCTTCTTCTGAATCAAGGTCTGGCCATTTTGCCAACTGAACAAAATATGCATCATACTGTGCTGCACTTGTGATGATGAGAAAAGTCCAATTATGACTACACTGCAGAATGAGCACTGGTCATCTTTCCCTAGAAATATTGAGCAAAAAAACTGAGTGATTTGGGGAACAGATTAAGTGATCCAGCCCCTAAAGTTAAATCCCTCTTACAGAAAATACTACACAAAATGACATTCACCTTTAGCCTTTCGCTCCAGAGACTGAGCTGCATGTTTCACTGGTAGTACTGAACCCTCTGTTCCTGGACTTTCCATCACTGCTTCCTCTGATTTCACAGTCAGTCTCTTTGTCAACCGACGAGTTGCCCCAGGCGTCACAGTGGATTCAGGACTTCCGGCCACTGGGCTCTTCTCTTCAATCGTTTCTTCTCCAGGGGATGACATAGCAGATATTTTCTTCTGGAGCTTCTCCTTCTGCCGTGGCTTCAGCTGCCGCTTCTCCCTCACTATTTCTTGAGAACTCTTCATTTGAACTGTAGAGTTGTTTGCACTCTCATCTGAAGACTAGAGAAAATAAGAGAGGAACAAGATGGGACAAATCTAGGATGACTTCAGAACACAAACCTAATCAGCAATTCCTATGGAGAGGACTCTGAGCTCAGCACCACCCTATCAGTCAGCTGCATTTTGGCAACCTACATCAAGGTTCACAAACACCCTCACCTTTACTACAGAAGTGCAGCCCACAGAGGCTACAAATCCCAGCATGGGTTGTCCCTTGATCAAAGCAAAAGACTCTAGCTGCAATCTAGTCCATTCTTAGTAGGAGCCCAAGGGAAACACAAGTTGCCAGTGCTGCCCTCAACAGACAGATTACCTCTGATTACAAAGTCCTGGCTTTTGCTATTGCTACCAGGGCTTCTTATTCATTGCTACGTATAAATAGCAAGAAATTCAAAGCCATTTGGTCATTGCAATGTTGTCTTGAAATGCTACCACAGAAGACAGGACTCTGGATTAATCTCCAGAACTTAGATGCAGAAATGTACAGACATCCCCATTGCATCGGAGGTATGTGCCAAGTCATGCTGGTAAACAGAATGTGAATGTTATCCAAGGCACCTTCTGACACATAGTGTTTCCTATATTCTCTAGGGACTCACCTCTGCAGCCTTGTCTGTTGGGCCAGCTCTGAGGGGCGGAATGCTCGACTCCACCAACTTCTTTTCTTCTCTTCCAGGTGCTTTAAAACATCCCAAACCCACACTGTTAATTCTAAGAGTTCAAACACCACAGATCTCCTGAATAGCATTTCACACTACTGGTTTCCAACCTTTTGGGGCAAACGAACCAGTTTAATAGACTAAGAATTTGGCTGCAGCTTGTGCTCTACAATCTTCCATTCAGTTGTACATACACACTGTAATCATGAGGTCTGGGTTGCGCTACACACCAGAGAACTTTTACTTGCAGCTGACCAAGCACTGTGATGACCCAAAGAGACTCCCATTTAATGTTACATCTGAAAGACACTTTCTACAGTGCACATTATGTATTGTGCACAGGGAATGAATGAATGAGGCTGTTGTCTGTAGGACCCCTGCCTTATTTGTTGCTGAGGTTGGAAAGTGTATATTGAACGAGGCAGAGGACTATAGGATGAAAAAGGATGGTCTCATGGTTAGGCGGTTGAATGCTGCCCTGGTAAACTGGATTCTATGCCTGCCTCTGCCAAAGAGTTCCTGTGTGATGCTGGGCACCTCAATCAAACTAGTGTTAACAGCTGGCTACTAATTGTGTGTTCCCCATTTTCTGGGTGCCCAACATGAGACGCCTGTGGTTTAAGACACAAAAACACTGAGCACTCAGACATCAGTGGAATTGTGCTTTGAACATACAAAGTGCTCATGCTCAAAAAAAAGCAAGTCCTAGATATTTCAAGTTGGGCACCCAAAATTAGTGGACAATTCTGGCCTTAATCTCTCTCTGTGCCTCAGTTCCCCAGCTGTAAAAAAAAAACAGAACACACACACACATTCCTACCTCACAGGGGTGTTATGAAGATACATACATTAATGTTCATGAAACAGTGACTCCAATATTATTTTGAGAGAATCACAGAAACTCCCAGGAGGGAATGAATTTTGCATTCAGTACAAAGTTTGAGGCCTGAGGCCACACATTCAATATTGCATTTTGTCCTCCACATTAAATAACTATGCATTCACTGAATGAGGCAGGAGCCCCATAAAAGACATAGCAAATGATATGCATGACAGTCTTTAATTACATATGTACAAAGCAGCAAGTAGGGTTGACATGGGCAACCTTGATTCTGGCACTTCTTAACTTTTGACTTTGAAAGTCTTCTAGCTGTAATATGTAGTGGAGTGAGTGATTTCTGAGTAAACTGAAAATACCAGCAAAGAAGGGGGAACCTGCTGTACTATAGGAATGGCCAAAGCATTTGTTACCTGTCAGCTTTGTAATGCGCAGTAATCTCCTCCCGGTGGGAGTAAGCTCAGGTTGCGGTGGCGTATTTAGGGTGTTCTCTCCACTCTGCTGCATCCTCAGAGCTTTCTCCTGCTTGATCTCCTCCAATGTTTTAATGCGCACCTCCCCTATTGACATGGCTTTGCCTGTTGACTCCTCCAGCTGCCCTTTGCTGGCTATAGGTGGAGCTGCAGTGCCCTGCTTCTTGGGCTCACTCTCAGTCTTCGGCTTGGTAGGACTTTCCTCCGCTTTTAGCTTTTCCTCCACTTTTAGCTGATCTTCCTCCCCTAACTCCCTGTTTTTTTTCTCAGCCAGAACCTCAGAAAAGGTTTTGATTCTAATTGTTGGGGAAGGTTTCACCCTTGGATTAGGATCTTCTGTTCTACAAGTCTCTTCAGTCTTGAGTTTGGTTTGAGGTTCTCCCCGTCTCTGGTTGGCTTTCTCAAGACGGATTTCTTCTAGTGTTTTCACACGGATCTCACCTGCTGGTTTTGCAGCTCTCTCTGTTGTCACCAAAAGAGGAAAAAACCAAAACATTTAAAGAAAAGACTGACCTGTGCATTGAAAAAAAAAAAAAAAAAAAATAAAAAACCCCCTAGGGCCCCCCAAAAAAAAAAAAAAAAAAAAAAATTAAGTAGCCGCTTAGGGCCCCCCAAAAAACTGTGAATGTCAGTGTGTCGAAGAGAAAGGAATCCAAATCATAACCTAAACTTGTGAATGTGGTTTAGGGAAGCATGTATGTCAAATTGTAGGGCACACTCTGATCCCTTTTCTGTAAATCTATTACTACTGTGATGACTGCAGCACAGAGGTAAATCTGCCCCATTCTACCACTACCTTGTATCTCCACTGGCATTTCCAATCCCATCTCTTGGTTTCCAATTTCTATTTCACTTGTCTCCAAGCTGGTTTTAAACTCTTCTGCTTATAAACAGGCAAGCAAAGCTTCCTGAGGCACAAGTGGAATCAAATTGGCTGTCAAGAGCCAGAACTCTCATGCTGGCAGATACAGGAGCTCTAATGGCTACGGGTAGGGTAATGCGGATTGCTGAGAAATGGCAGGTCCGGGAAAAAGGGGAGCATCAGCTGTCTCCGTGCTAGTTACCTGTCTCCGTGCTAGTCTGCTCAGCTGGCAATCCTAGCCTCTCCTTAAGAGACTTGGGGACTTGAACTGCAAGAACAAACACAAAGCAGTTAGGTGGGCTGCTCCTTTGTCTCTCACATAGTTCCAGGAAATTCAAAGTTATATTGAGAGGCTTCATCTAACATACAAAGAACCAAAAGGGAACTACAAACTGAAGTCTGTATGTAACAAACCCAAAGATTTCTTAAGCAGCAGTACCTCTCTTTGGTGCTTTGTCAGTCTTCTCCAGAGATTCAAGCTTCTTTCCCAGCCTTTCAGCAAGGCTACGCTTCAATGGAGGGCCACTTTCATCTGTAAAGCCAAACATGGTGGAAAGAAAGTCAACAGCTAATATCTGAACATATTAACAAGCGCTTATACATAGGAGGACTTGAAGACAGAGGAGTCGCCTAGAAGCTCTGCTCTCTTTACCTTTCACAGAGTTTAATTTTTCTGTGTTTATTTTCCAGCTGCTAATATCTGCTATTTCTGCTTCTAAGTTGTAGCTCCCAAATAGCACAATGGTTCTCAGTGGAAGAAGCATTTTGAAACCCAAGTAACACAAGATAAGGATGTCAGGAGGGTAAGAGGCTCTCTGAGAAACTCTCCCTTATGAAGCAACTGCCAAATCAAGGCAGGGACTCTCAGGGTGGAAAGTTCTTCTAAAGCACTTCATAAACTTATAGGGGTTCTCATAATAAATTTGTGGTGGCCTCAGAGTGCGGCCACCAACTTTTGCTGGTGGGCGTTCTGACAATTTTTCCTAAAATACTTGACTTTAGGAAAAACAAATAAATATGCACATATACATTTTCAAATCATTGTAATTTATTTATGTAGAGGTTTTTTGCAGACTCAATTAAAAATAATGTACAGTTGTCTCTATTCTTTATTGGACCTAAACAGAATAGAAACACAAATAAGGTGTTTTGCACAGTCTTTTGTTGTTGTTGCTTTTGCTTTTTGGTTGCTTTTTAAAAAAGACTTGCTAGCTAGTAAGTCCTCTGCTGCAAAAAGATATATTTGTATATTTGTTAATATCAATTTCCACAGCAGACTTACTAGCTAGCTGGGAGGCTGTGAAAAGTGATATTAACAAACATAAAAATATAAATTTTCACAGCAGACTTACTCAGCCAGTAAGCCCTGGATAAGAGGTGGGTGGGGAGACAGCGGGGACCAGGGGCTATGGATGGGGGGCAGGGGAGGCAGGAGTGATGTAGTGGGGTGGTGAGACAAGGGCTGGGACCTGCAGGCAGGGTCCAGGGCTGGAGCCCAAAGCCCCAAGACCGGAGCCTGCCGCCCGCCACCTCAGGGCTGAAGCCCGAGCCTCACTGCCACATGGAAGGTGGGGAACTCACACCGACTGCCTGTTCCTCTGGCATTTGTGGCTCCAGAGGGGGGCAGTGCCAAACCCCTGCTGATGGCCCTGGGGGAGGGACCACTGCTTTGCACCTCACCCCCAGGAGGCTGTGGTCGCAAGAAAAGCCCCTGGTGGCCGCATGCGACCGCAGTGGCTGCATTTGAGAAACGCTGTCCTACAGTATCTGAAATGCAGACATTTTTAAGGAGAAGGGCACCAGAACAATATATCTGCACAAGCCTGGGGGCAAATGCAATATATTTGCTCTGGTGTTTTGGGGGCACCATATTTCTCTGGTAAAGCATACAAGAAGCCACAAGCTCAGGAATTACCAAATAGATGACTTGATGGCTTCTGACTTAAGTTAAAGAAGCAGACTATGTAAGCAGCTGGAGTACCCACACTGCTTCAGAGTATACACATTGCATAGAGTAAAAAAATTATCCCCTTCTTGAGATATCTAACTAACTATAAACCTTACCCTAAAAGCTTTCTCCTCAAGTTTGGCTGTTCCTAGGGTTTCCCTGCAAATCCTCACCTGTCCAAGTCCCTTGTTCCCCATTTTCCAAAGAGACACTCCATCCCCTTTGCAGCCTGGTTGGAGTTAAGGACCCACCTGTCAGCATGAGTCACAGCAGCAATTACTCTGCAACCTTATGCAGGGCTGTAGAAACTGCCACCATGTTACAGACCAGCATTCAGGTAATGGGAGAGTCCCATACATACTAATTTTTTCCTTAAACTAAATTCCTATAGCTTTATTTTGTTCTATAAAATATATTTTCAAACCACATTAACAGAGCTGCCTGGAGCCTTACAGATGTAATGGCAGATGGGTGTTGCAGATTTCAACTTAAGTGCATTACCAGAGCTGTGCAGAGGAAGCTGACTCTAGCCAGCGTTATTTCTCTAGCTTATGAGTTCTTACCTATGGAGGGTTTCCGTTTTCCTAGTCTCTCCGAGAGACTCAATCGAATCAGAGGCTCCTCACCTGGAACAGTGAAACATAAGCATCTTTAATTTGGAAAAAGCAGTAGCCATATATAGATATAAGATAATCTTGCCAGTTTACACAAGTGATAGACTCCTATTGTAAATCATGAGATTTTGCCTATTAGCGAGGAAACAAAAATGCAATAATATTGCATCATAAAACATTTTGATAATTACAATTTGGAAATGTACTAGGAAGTGTACTGTAGTATACTTAGTAAAAATCGTAATATGAGATCTCGCTTCAGCTTTCTGCTATTAAGGCTCTGATGACAAGTGTGCAAGTTATATACTGTGCTGGTTAGGGAGGTTCTCCTACAGCAGAAGTTTTCACAAAGTTAAGTTTTACTCTTACAAGCAAGCAAAATGCCTCTTGAGACCACAACTTCCATATTCGGGCTCTAGTCTACTAGACACTTTTGAAGATTTATTCCTTACTAGGATAAACAACTATCAAACAGCAACGAGTCTCTCTCTGAAAAAAAATGGAACTTCGCAGTGTCTTACTGCAGACTACCTCATGAACATACACTCCTCCCACCAACGCCCTTCTCTGCTTGTTTAGTGCTGGCCCCCTCTCCAATGCCACAGAGCTTCCTCTCATTAGTCCTCCAGTTTTCTCCTGTTTGCACCCATTCATTTCTCTCTCCTTTTGTTATTTGGTTTTGCAGCTATATCCTTGTGCAAACGCTTGTCCTGATCCTGCAAACACTTGAGCACATATGTAGCTCTACTCACACCAGCAGACCTGTTGGGAGTAAAGTCAAGCACATGTTCAAGTGTTTGCAGCATTATGGTCACATTTTGTAACACTGGCTTGTTATGGTTAGCTCGAGCACTTCTCCGTAACCCTTTAAAGGTGATGTCCAGATGCTGAATGTCCTGATGCAAAAGTCAAAAACCTATATGCTTCTCTGAGTACCAGCACTGTCAGAGGTTTTCGATATATCCAGGGATTCTTCCTTCTGTAGAAAACCATGGGTTTCGAAGCTTTAAATAAAGTCTTCAAACACCTTTCGGCACCATCAGTAGCAGATGAACACCATGTTGGCCAGAGAGAGCAAGGACATCTGGACCAACACCACAGTCTAAGGAGCTACTAAAATGGAACCAAGGAAGCAAGCAGCAGTTATCATTACCTTGCTTTGCAGACAAGGTAACAGTCCTGATCACCGTCCGTAGGTTTTCCTTTTCCGGACCAGGAATGGTCTGGGATTGGAGGGGATAAACAGAAACTCCAGAGGGGCCTTCTGATCATAGCAAACAAAAATATATTAAGTTAGCGGGGGGGAAGTTTATAAAAAGCCACTCCCTTACCACATGAGGAAAAATAGACAAGAGTTACTTTATTCCTGGCAAACTGATTTTAAATCACTTCAACAAAAACATTATTTATATGCAAATTGAAATCAAGGCCCAGATCATGCAATTGAGGGTGTGTAAAAACACCTTTATGAACAGATCTCCCACTCAATCAATGGCATATCTGGGCCACAAGAGAAGAGTAAATACAAAGGACTGCACAGAATAGTCCTAGCCAATGCTTGGCCAGCTATCCAGATGCTATAGGGGGGAAAAGATACATAATGCACAACAGCATGAGAGTATATTCTTGTACCCTTCTCATTTCGACTTTACTCCCTGCTTTAGAGGGCCTGACTAATACAAGAGAGCTTGTGCCATCTGGACTCTGCTTTTACCACCTGAACTATTTTTAAGCCATTTTTTTCAAACAATACAGTCCTTCTCTGAAAGCAAATACAGATTATCCCAACCCAAAAAAACCCTGCAAGTCATCCTGTGTATTTCCCATGCAGGAAAAATTGTTGTCTCTCTTGAGACAGGAGTGCCATTGAATTTGGGAGGGAGGGAGAGTAACTCACCACCTTGTTTTTGTGATTTTTCCTTCATTTTTTTGGACTTGATTTCTTCAAGTGTTTTTATTCCAAAATTCAAACTGTTATCTGAAAATGCAGAATTGTGAATGAACCCAAAACTTAAAAGCAATGGTGCATGTCTATGAATGCAGACCAAGCTTCTCAACATTTACTGCTTTTTCCAAAAAAAAAAAAAAAAAATCAGTATTAACAGACATGAAAGAAGAAAAAAACCACCCCTAAGTTCATGGCCACAGAATTTGGCTTGCTTGGTCTCACAAGAGAGCAGAAGCTGCATTTTTAAGAATTACCAACATCTGCGCTATTAGTCACTTGGCTTACTTTTAAGGTTTTTTTTGTTTTGTTTTGTTTTTTTTAAACAGTGTGAGGAAATCCAGGCTTTGAACTCCCCTTTGGTCTCCTGTGAGAGCTAAGTCACAGAGATGCTCACCTTCCAGAGCCATTCTGTGCTCCCATTTCCACCCCTCACCTCACTGTTCTTCCACAACATGCTGTGTTCTGAACTAGCTGCGGTACACTTCTTCAGGTGTCAGAAGATGCTACTGCATGACCATACAAATACCCCCTTTCCCTACAGAACTTCCTTGGTGATGTCTTTTTAAGGAGTAAGAACCTCAAAACTACACCTGCATGGTAATTTAAAGACTTAGGGTGCAATCTTACACCGTCTTACACTAGTGTAAACCAGGAATAACTCCACTGAAATCAGTGGAGATACCCCGTGTACATAAGGTGCTCTAGCCTGATGACCTCCATGCTAACTCATGGACCACTCCATATGCTCCTAAAGCTAGCAAGATTTAATGTAAGCATTGATTACCAAGATGAATTTTTTAAAAGGTAACCTGAAAAGTCACACTATCATTTCCTGTTTCAATGCCTACTGGGATTGCTCAACATAAACCAAAAGCGTTTGAAAAAAGAATGAGCTAAGCATTGACTCAACTATCCTGTTTGTGACTGCAGAAGAGTGGCTGATACCCAAAGATCACCTTACTAAGCAGCTCAGCCAATAGCTAGAATTAAGGTTTTTGCCAGGCAAACCACCGGGGTGGTCATTTATTACATTTGATCAACACCTAACACAATGGGGTCTAAGAGCCAACCTGGCTGTGACTTTTAGGAGCTCCTACAATATAAACATGAAATACCTTGTTTTGAATTAGCACTGGATTTCCGAGTAGAAATTATCCGCAATCCATTATGGGTTTCTGTAGCTGGCTGTTGAACAGGTGTTTTAGTTTCATCTCCTTCTTCAGAAAGCTGATCTGAAAGGGACAAAATGTTAGCTCACACTCAATTAGCATCAGGAATTGGACAAGACTGTGTGCACTTTGAGGCAGGGAAAACCAGGAACCTTTTTGTTCTGGTTGCATACAGCAGCTGGCACAATGGAGTCATGGATCATGCCTGGGGTTCCTAGGTGCAATGGTAGTACAAATAACTAATAACTAAATCTTGTGCTTTCAGATATCAGACCATGCCCTTACGCAGCACATTTCATCTAAGTGGTGCAAAGGGGTGAGTACTCTCTTCATTATGCAAAAGTGAAGGTATTGGGAGGTTAAGGCCAAAATGGCCAGGGTTTTTGGGTACTCAACTTGAGCACCCATCAGCTCCCTCTGACTTCAAACAGTGGCCACTTGGCCTAAGTGACTTGCCCAAGTATGGCCATGCCAGAGCTAAGATCTAGGTCTTGTGACTCAGTTCCTAGCTCTTAATCGCTAGACAAGGCTACTTCCTGGATTGCCTAGAAGGGTGATGGTGCTTAAGGACGAAATTCCCTTCCTGTTTCCTTGTCCAACAAGAGTTTAGAAAAGCTTTCCCCTCCAATATTCCAGGTATTGGCCATTGCACAGTGCAGAATGCTAGACTAGAACCACCACAGGACTAACCATGAAAACTGAAGGTTGATTACTAGGCACATAGCAAATGCATCAGTGCTGTATGTATTTATTTAAATATCGGAGATATAAAATGCTTTAGAGATCAAATCTGCTCACCGTCATCATCTTCATCATCATCTGCAGCATTGATTACGACTGGAGGATGAGTGGGGCTGGGAACGTTTTCAGAGTTTTCCACTTTCATCACCCCCCGCAGCTGGGGGGAGGGATTGGACTGGACAGACAGTTTATTCTGCTGCAGCGAGATCTGGGTCACCTTCACCTCCTCTTCTACAGACTCAGTCATACTTGGCAGCACAGCTAGAAGAACAGGAGAAACACCTGTAAATTGCCTATTTAAAACCTTGAATCCAGCGCTTCATTCATTTCCAAAACCATAATGCATATAGACTTCCAGACATGCCGAACTCTCCTTCACTATGAGAGAAGAGACTCTGCTCAGTATGAATATGCCAGGTGAGAGAGCATAGATGTCTGGCTATTATTTTTACAGCCCCACAAAGCTATAACTCTTCACACCTACTGAAAGGTTGAGTGAGATGAAGGTAGCCTAAAACAGAAGGAAAATGTTAATAAAAAGGAGAGAAGCAGCTAAGCATAAAAAAAAAATTGGGTGAAATCCCCACAGCTATTCATTTCAGCCTTGACTACAGCTGGAGGCCCATTTCTTGTGTTCAGGATCAGCAGCTGGCTGGTACAAATCAGCCGTTGTACAGCACCGATGCTGCTATATAAGTAACAAATTTACTTCCTGTTTTGATAATATCAAGACTTCTTGTCTCACAAAGAAAAACTGACCAAGGTGAGGGATATTTCGACTCTTGGGCCAACAAGTTTTAATATCGACCTTAAGAGCCAGTATTTGTTTGTTAATGAAGCAAATAATGTAATATTTGTTGCAGTGGTCTCAGAACTGATTTTTAAATAAATATTTTTGACATTTTAGGTCAGACTGGTGTTCCATTTGAAACCACCACAGATTTTAAATTTCTATCATGAACAACTGAGCAGTCTTTGTTTTTCAACTACCAATAGCAGGAGCACTCGGAAATATCTGTGCAAATAAAAATCCAGAGGTCGGCTCTACAAGGCTTCAGGGATCTGGGAAGAATTGCCGAAGGAGAAAAATGAAACAACTCACTTTTGCTTGGAGGTAGGAAGAGTCCGTCGACATAGCGTCCCTTGTTGTGATGGAAAGCGCAATTTAATTTCTTACAGCCAACTGGCTGATTCTCCCAGTAGCAAGGGATCTCACTGCGTTTTTTCTTCAGACAGACAAAACAAAGACCCACATTAAAGTCACCTTGGAAAAGCTACAGAGTCATGCAGTTATCAGATGGCATCCAAGTGGCATAGAATGCTCACAGAACAATCACAATGCAATATTATGACTTCGTTTCACAGGTCAAACATGTCACAAAGATAAAATATTTCAATATACCGTTAGGACATTGCCTCATAACTGAAACAAAAATCCGATCTAGTGCTCTGGGCACATATACAATCTTTACAAAAACTACAACAATGACAATTTTGCATCTGTCTGTCACTACACTTCCTCTTTCCTTTCTCCACTTTCCAGTCTATTATAGCCCCTGACAAAAACTATGTAGAAAACTGGAGAAGTCAGAGATGGAAAAGACACATTAATCACATCTAGTTCATCTCCCAAAGGGCCAGTGCAGAATTATTCCCCAGTGCTAGGGCCACCACAATTTTAAGTAATAAAACCAATGTGACTACTGCCACTTCCACTGAAGAGACTATTCCAGTGTCTAGTAGATATCACAGCAAGGAGTTGTTTTTCTAACAGGCTTAAATTTTCTTAAATTCATCCCTTTACTTTGATCACTGGAGGCCAGCGTTGCTTAGAGCAGGCAAAACTGATATGTAAAAGTGAACCCACTCTATGCTCTTTGCTTCCTACTGTAAATTATTGTTCCAATTCAAACCAAATTAGGAAGTGTCAAAGTAACCTGCTTGCACTGAGGAGCCTCCAATCAGATCCACTTGTATGATTCTAAATCAGTTCTCATCTTCTTGGTGTTTGCATGTTCAGCACAAGCATCTGTGACAAGACTACCACAACAGTGAACCTCAGTAACACAAGTTTAAGTTTAAGCAGTTCACTGAGCACCAGATAAAAAGCACTGTCCGAAAACGTACTTGCAAAATGAACACTTACATCAATCTCCATGTGCCTAAACCTGCAGATACTCCTGAAGCAGCGCCCTTCCTGCCAGAGTGTGCAGACAGTCTCGTTTCCCAGTGCAGCTTCACAATGACGGAAGGGACAACTGTCCCCCTGTGCCAATGGGACAAAAGCAAATAAGAGGTTGCAACCTGAAAAACCCAGGTACAAAGAGAGCGGTAAAAGTGGGACTTTCTGAACTGAAGGAAAAAGGCTCAGTGACTGAACTGATCCTAGTGTGGGGAATGGAAAGGCAGATGAATCAATAAGAAGAAACGGAGCAATGGATGAGAAGTGCATTCTCAGGGAGAAGGCAGAAATAATTAATTCTATGGAAACATTTTGAAAGGTCCTTCCTGACATTATTTTAAATTACTATCTTAACATCAGACAAACACTTTAGAGGTGGCCATGATGAAACAAGTCAGGATATATTGTGGATGGGATAAGAATGAGATAAATCAATAACCACTTCATAAAAAAAAACAAAAAAACAAAAAAAACACACACACACACAAAAGATTAACATCTACATCCCTATTCCCTACAGCCAACCTCAACCATCTTACTGTTGCATTTACACTTGATAGAATTCTGTTTACTGTATCATCCTTAAGACCTAAAGTTATTAGTGTTAATTTTAAATTGAGATATATTTGCCACATTAAGAAATTCAAAAATTAGGCAGCAATCAACACGGGGTGGGTGAAGCATGATGCCTGCAGCTCTTGAAAAACTGTATGCCATTGCAAAAATGGCCACTATTATTTTCCTGCTGCCACAAAAAAGGGCATATATGTTTCTGCATCTGTTCATTGGCCTTAGTCATGTCTATAACTTCTGGATCTTATTTATTTAACAATGAAACAGCATACAGAGTTGTCACAATATGATATGGATTTTTTCCCCCCATAGCTGGTTCATTGGGCCCAATAAGCAAGTTAGCTCTAGAGAGAAGCAGAATGGTTTAGCTGACTGAAGGAGTCAGGTGCTCTTGAGTTCCAATCCATTATTGACATTGACTCCCTCCATAGCTTGGGCAAGTTGCTTCAATTCCATGTCTTGATTTACCTATCTTTATAAGGAGTTAATGCCAACATCACAAGTTATTCGTAAGGATTAGCAACCAACTGTTTGAAAAGTGTTAATCAGTATTACTGCTTAATAAAAACAGGAGCAGGGTAAAGATTAATGCTATCTCTACACAGATGATCTTGCATTATTATTCTACTTTGAAATTTATTCCTTTCCATAACAAATGGCTAGGTGTAACAAAACAAGACGGGTACACAGGATATGAAATCAGCTATGACACTTCAGGATAGATTCTACTTTCGAATCTAACTATGAGACATATATTAAATTATTTGAGCAACTCAATTCATCTCAGTTTGTTTTTTTTAAAATGTGTTTTTAAAAATAACACACCTTGGTACACGTGGAATAGAAATAGAAGTAGCAATCATCTCCTTGTTTAGACATGCTGGACAGATTGTTAGAATAAGCTCAAGTTATCAGGGCTATTGCTCCACACAGACTTCTTCCTCGCTTAGTGAAAACGGGCTTCACCCTTTCTTCTTCAGACGTTATCAGTGAAATCTTCTTTAAAAAGTAACCTTGGAGAAGTTGGTTTGAGGGGAATAAAAAAATAAATAAATCAGATCATCAAGTGACAAGTAACTTTCCCTCTTCCTTGCAACAATGCCATTTAATGAGTTTGAAGGGACAGTGTTAACTTGACTACCTTGAAACTGACCAGTTCCAAAAAAAAAATCCCAGTTCTGAAGTACTTTCAAGTCATATGAGTTTTGTCTGTGATTTAAAATAAAATAATGATTTTTCTGTGTCCTTATTGACATTAAAAAGTTTTATTAGTATAGAACAAACTGTGCTCCATACAGAGTTACGTGCAGGATTGGGGGCCTACCTCTGAAGGAATTAATTGTGCCTGGGAAAATATCTCTGGATGATTAACTATTGTTATAAGTCATATTCTTTAAAAAAAATACAGTTTCAGTTATGAGCCCTCCCTTCCCACCCCCATACTATACCAAGGGGAAATTAGACATCTACAGATTAACATACCTGGATAACCTCGGCAAGAACGTTGGTCTTCAAAGACTTCCAATTAATTTCTCCTGTAGGCCGAACCAACACTCAATCCGTGAATTAATAATAAAGGGATAGAAAGAATTTTCTCCTCACATTGCCAAGGAAATCTCTCATCCACAATTCAGACACAGGCTGTGCTTTTAAACATCTTACAACTACTGGAGGAAGCAAGTCCATTTGAATACTCTCTGTCAGACTGGAGACAGCGAGGGTTAGTTAGCTCTTCAAAAAACAGTTCACTTAAAGATGAACTTGTGAGTCAAAGCGGCTGCAAAAATGAAGATCCATCTTCCACAGCCGGACAGTTTAAATTTTTTTTTTTAATTTAAAACTCAATAAGTTCCAATTTCTGGTCTTCAAGATTTCTTCACCTATTAAAAAAACACAAAAACCTTCCCCCATCTTTATTACCTGTATAGCAAAAACATACTTGTATGTATAAACATACATATGTATATACATATATACAAATGTGTTTATACACACACCAATATATTCAAATGTGGTAATAAAAATGATGTAATTGGGCTATTTGTCACTTAAAATGCATCATAAAGTATCTCAAAATTTGGGGGAATGGCAAAAATTGAGGGGTTATAAAAGTGTCACACAAATACACTTTCAGGCCAATGCTTTATAATATGGGCAAGTTTGGATCTGGCACAAATATACACATGTACATGCATACAGTATATCCATATTTATGTGCTCAAAGCGTTCAAAGTATGCATAGTCTGATATCCATATTGTAAAGAACAATCTGTAGCTCTGATCAGATATTTAAAGTTGCAATCAAATGCAGAAAGATAGCAGTTCTAAAATACAGCAAGCTGTAAGAAGCAGGGAAACGCTCAGTTTTGAAGAGGCACAGCTGCATGAGACAATTTGGAAATATTTTGATTTTTGGAAGCCAATTTTAATTTCTTTTACATTTTTCAAATACTATTGGTTTGTGACCATATACTGTTCCCTGGTACATATATCCATTATTATCCATCGCCGTGAGATGGCAAAGGTCTGAAAGGATGGCTTGGATCCAATTCTTAGCAACCAATGACTGACACCATAAGGAGCCTAAAGGTGTTTCCAGTTACCACAAACAGTTTAATTTCACTGTGAAATGAGACATTTCAGTTTATTTATTTTTACTGAATGCCATAAAACCTGCATTTTTGACCATTAGATCTAAACGTAAGAAATTCCAATTCCTGTGTCATTAAAAGTGCCGAGAGAGACAAGGTGGGTGAGGTAATGTCTTTTCTTGGACCAGCTTCTGTTGGTGAGAGAATTTGGTCCAATAAAAGATATTACCTCACCCACTTTGTCTCTCTAATAACCTGGGACTGATATGACTTTAATAACATTGCATACATTAAAAGCACTGAAACATTTCTGTGCTAATTCTCTTCCAATTCTACCTTAGAAGAAATCGAATGAAATAGTTCTTACAAATTAATAATAGACCTATTCTATTAAGATTAGACCCTTTTATTCTCATGCACTAGTGAATTTTTCCAGGATTTTTTTTGGAGGGGGGGTTGGGGGGGAGAAAAGGGAAGGAGTTTCCCTAAATCTAAAATAATGAGAGGAAAAATTGGGTTCTTGTACTAGTTATCAGTTTTAAACTCTTGACAAGGGGAATTAAAAAAAGGTAAGAATCAATCTCTGTCCTTCCCTTAGTATCTAAATAATTACTCACTTTTGACTTTTGCTGCCTTTACAACTGGATTTTGTATCCCAGATAACTTTTGTCTACCTGTATCTAACTACACTAATGTTCTCTCGGTGTGCAATTAACATATATTAGATACAGGGAAGTTTTGCCAAATTTACTTTCACTAATATCCTGCAGAATTCAATGCAATTTCAATTTCCACATAAACCAAAACTTATTTCTTGGCAAGTAACGGACAATGCCTCCTGGTCTGTCTGATAATGTGTGCTATTTTTGATTATTTCTTTCAATGGATTTGCATATTACCTTCCATACTTCGGCACATACTTAATACTTTTCACACAGTCCAGGGTTTGAATTAGCCTCACTGAAATTATACTACCAAGCAACTCAAGCCTCTCAGTTCTGTACAAGCACTACAAATAAAAAATGTTAACACAGAAACTAGACTTTAAAAAAATAAAAATAAAAAATTTAAATAAAACTTTAGTTAGAACAGCAATTTAAATACTACAGAAAATCGACTGAACTAACCCCTTAAAGCTTAAAATAAATGAATAACTCTGGCGCATTCAGCAAGCTTGCATCAGAAACTGATTAAGAACTTCAAAGCCAATCAAATCCTGAAAATTACACTGGTGTTCACATTGAGATTGAGCTGTGGTTCACATTGTAATTTCATTTTGTACAGGAGCTTAGTTATATCAAAACAATAATTTGAGACCAGTGAGAAGAAATAAAAAGCTGGGGTCACACACTTCACCCTCACTAAAGGAAGCCAAGAATACAGCGAACATTTGCCCAGTTCATTTTAGAGCCCTGTCTTTCTCAACACTGAAAAACTATGTTAGTCACTCATCCATCTTTTCAGTTTGCCAGCGAGCATTAGTCCATGGCCTTTCAACAGTATGCTGGGATTATGGGGGAGAGAAGTCCAGAGAGGGAACATTTTTATACCTTAATAGGTGTCATAAGGGAGCACTATTCAGTTACTACTGCCAGCACCATGCTTATCAACTACAGATACCTACCTAGTGCTCTTTATGATTTTAAAGCATGAATCCTATTTTGCTCTCTTTATTATTGACCTGTTTTTGTATTTTTAATTATTTTTAAAAAAATAGTTATTTTCATTAATGTTTATATTAAAAAACCTACATGGTGTTTATTAGGACAATCTGAACACAAGATCAGGAGCCAGGAACGCCCCAATTTTAATCCCACCTTTCTCACTAAGTCAGGTGTCAGTTTTCTGGTCTACAAAATGGACATAATGCTTATTTACCTACTTCACGGGGGCATTTGGAGGATGTTGTAAAGTGCTCTTAAGATGGAAAGCACAAGAAGTGCTAGATATTAACAACCGTACAAGAACAGTACATAGCAGCACAAGTCCCAGCACTTCAAATGGTCCAGAGCGCAGAACAAACTGACGCTACCAACTCTGGCTAAAACATCTCATCCTCGCTACTCTGAGTGATCTCATCCTCTGTGTCAAAGCCCAAGGCCAGAGTGGAATAGTCATAATTAATAGTTTTTAAGTTCATTTTAAGGAACATTAACTGTTCAATGTTGTCAAAACCTGGACTAGCAGAGTGTTCTGAAACGAGTTGTCTGGCTGTGCTGAAGACACATTCAGGGTGCAGACTACAGGGAGGGCAGCTGAGATACTGAATAGCTACTCGGGTTAATGCAGGCCATCTTCTCAGTTTCCCCTGCCAGTAAATCAGGGGGTCATCTTTAACTGTTATCCCTGAAGACTCATCTTGAAAGTACTCTTCTACTACTGCTGCAGCTGATGGGCACAACAGCCTCTTCTTGCCTATTAAAGCTGCACCACTCGAAGAGAAGCCACTGAAGGGATCTGAACCAGAGTAATCTTCCTTAAGGTGAAAAGCAAAAGGATCGGTTCCTATAAGGGATGAATGGCCTGATACTTCTGTAGCTTCCAAGGAGCAACCCTCCACTGACGTGCACATATACTCAGATACTACTTCAATAAGGATCTGTTTATAGCTTATCAAGTCAGTACCTTGAGGAAGGAATTCTTCTAAATTGTCTTTAAAGCAGGGATCTAATAAAGTGGCCAAGATGTAATGCTCAGATCTGAGCACGGTGCTCAGTCGGGAGTCAGTTTCAAGCCTCAGAGACAAGTCATCCACCAGCCCGAGAGCTACAGTGGCACCTTTGATTTGAAAGTCTTTTCGCATGTTCTGCAGAGTCAAAAGCAGGCGGCGAACTAATGGCAGCACCTGACTAAGACCTGCAGTGCACATACTCACTTCCTGAGTGGCTTCTTCAAACGGCTCAAGGATGTCACACATGTGAGCCATCAGACACCACTGAAATGAGGTGAGGATGACCCCATCCACCCTCCCCACGTGGTGTTGCATGGAATAGTCATGCACTGCCTTCTGCTGCTCTAAAAGTCGCCTCAGCATATAAAAGGTGGAGGTCCACTGGGTGGCTACCTCCTGCTTCAAGTTGTGCTGCGGAAGATGGTTTGCATGCTGGAACTCCTGCAAAATTTGACGGGCCTTAACAGAATGATTAAAATGATGGCAAATCTCTCGAGCAGCTACTAACATGCTCCTCATGCTTTTGTGCTCACGGAGGAAGTCTTGAATTACTAAACTTAAACAATGCATAAAGCACGGCACTTGGGTAAAGTCTCCATCTCTCACTGCATGCACAACATTGGCAGTGTTGTCAGAAACTATGAAGCCAGGGGTGAGGGAATTGGGGGAAAGCCACACACCGATTTGGTAATTT